TCCTCTGCTTTCCCCTCTAAATCCTTTTCCCTCTTCTCTGTCTTGTCCACCAACATCCAAGTTCTTAGACTTTCAAAAGACTTGTAGGCCAGGACCTGTAGCTTTCCTAGGGTATGAAATTGGTCACTTGGTGATTAGCAGGAAAGACACGAGAAAATGCAAAGTTGCCTTCCTAATTAAAATTTCAAAATTGATAGCTGGCTCCGATACATGACGCTGAGGTGAAAATCGGTAATACTGATCCTTACTCAATATTTGGTGTTTTTGTTCATAGATAGTTTGCACATTGTGACTTACTTAAATATTGCACAAAGGTAGGAGTGCTTTTCTTGATCAATGCTTTTATGTCATGACCCCTTAGATTTGCTTCTGGGGCAAGTACTCACTGGCTCCCAGCTGGCAGCCTCTACGTGCTCAACAAAGGATCACACAATCACCACCTGGACTAAAGGAAAGCAGGATCCAAGCTTGTGTCAAAGCTCCCTGGAACCCTGCTCAGGCCCAGAGGAGAGAATGTCCCCTGTTCCACCTAAAATCTCCTAACAGAGCACCCCAGAAAAGAAATGTTCTCCCTGCTTCACAACTGAATGTGTCTCCTGCTTTTTCTCCTGAATTTTCTGATTCATAAAAGAGAAATGATTCGAAGCCTCACTCTAGCCCTCTCTGTTCACACCTCAGCTCCTGCTTCGGCACCAGGCTGTTCCTGAAGCTCAAGGCCAGGTACAGTCCAGCTGTCCCTCGGTTCCTGCCCTGATGAGGCCCCATGGGGAGGTGGAAAGGTTCACTGCTCTTCTGTGTTTAAGAGCAGGACACACTCGAGAGAGGAAGCGACCAAGAGCAGAACAAGTCCTGCAGTGGCCCCAGAGGGTAAAGCCAAGGCTCGGCCCATGTGCACGTCGGATGCACAGACCCGAGGGACCACTGGACACTGCAAGGGGGTGCTTGAAGGGTGAGGTGCGGACACGGAGTAGGGTTGAGAGACTGTGCCGAGCCTCATTCCTCTTTCCACCATGACCAGCCCCCCTGCCTGTCGTGTGTAGAGCTCTGTATTTCATAAAAGCATTTTCACACACAGTCGCCTGTTCACTCCTACGACCTCCTCACCAACCACGAAGTAGTACTATAATTGCTATTTCTGTGTATTAGAGGAGGAAATCGAGGTCACGCAGGTTGTGCATGGGAGCAACACGGAGCAGCGGCGTGGGATCGAGGACAGCCAGGTGGTGGTTTCCTTGTTCAGATGTGCTTCTTCTCATGGATTTAGGCTTTTCCTTAGTACAGGTTCTTCCTGACCTGAAATGCACTGCAGCATCTATAGTGCTGGGTGCACGTTTCTGTCCAAATGGCCTGCGTCTGCCCTGATACTGTACATGGCCATATTCACAGAACCCATTGAGCATTTTGACTCATAAAAGCAACTTTGAGCTTCAAACTGTCTTTGATTGCTAGTTACTGGTAAGTCATAATATCTGCCGTTTCAGTGCGAAAGGAAACGTTTCCCCTCACTCTTCCATCAGAGCAGATGCTTCCATGCTCTAAGGCTGGCACTCTGCTAACGTCCAAGCTGTTGTTTTAATTAATAATGGCATTTAACTGTTCTACAAACAACCAGAAGTGAGAGAAGGGGGGGGAAACGGAGAAATATCATAGCTATCTTTTGTCATTTTGTCAGTAACGTTTTCTTCCTGAAAAGTATCATCATCATCATCATCACTGTTATCATTATTTAGGCAAGTGAAGGGAGGGAAAAAATTGTTTTATAATTCTGACTTAGCTGGAATCAAAACCACAGAGGATTTCTCCAGACATACCCTGACTTCTTCATGTGCTTGAGGATTGCTGATAAAATTCTCCGGGCCTGGGGAGGAGTTGCCCAATGCCTCCCACCGGGGCTTTCCTGGAAGTCGGTGTTCTTATTTTGCAGATGAGGAAGTGATGTCTGGAGATGAGCTGATGCTTTCCCAGCTAAACAGCCAGGGAGTCAGAACTAGGTCCGACTACAGGTGGCCAGCCTCCCGGGGGCTCTTCCCACTGGGCACGGTGTGGAGACGCGCTGGCGTAGGAGCAGAGCTGCAGTCACTAGTCACAGCCCACAGCAGGTTTCCAAATCTTGCTGGAGCTTCCCACCTATGGAGGGATGGAGTCACACAGAGGACACAAGAGCACAAGAACAGGAATTGAGACGGTATTAATTAAAGGGTGATAGGAATCGGGAGGAAAATGGCAATGGAGGGTGCGGGAGCAGGCTCTGCTGGGAGGGAGGGTGCAGCTGGCCAGCAATCAAGAGGACAGCAGCCAGCAGTTGTCCTAGAGCACGGGAGGAAACAGAGCCCAGAGACCTGGTGTCCAGGGAAGGTTCAGTCAGGCTGGCCCAGGAGGAGAAGACTGGGGGGGGGGGAATGGAAGCAGGCTTTTTCCGTCAGATGGAAACTTGGGCCACGTGAAGCTCTTCCTGGAAGTGCCCATGACCCTGAGTGTCCTCAGCCCAACAAAGCATCAGTAAGCTGGCTGCCTGCTGCTGGGAAGACCTGCGTGCGCCCTGAGGAACCCAGACCCAGGTGAGTTGAAGCCGAGCCTCATCGAGCCAGGCCTCTGAGGCTGCTTGTCTCCCCGTCTTGTCTGGGTGCGGCCCAGAGGTCTGTGATTTCTGCGAGAGATCACTGCTCGGGTGGAACGGCCCAGCTCTTTCTACCTGAAGATCTTCCCCCACCCTCACTTCGGGTGCTTGGAAGAGCTTGGCTGGACTGGACAGTCTGAGTGCTCCTGGTGGAGTCTCAGCCACGTGCCACCTGCGAGCCTTGGGGGCTGCCCTCCGTGGATCTGGACGGTTATCCCTGAAAGAAAACCTCCCCCCAGCCACCCCTACCTGCATTGCCTGCAGCAAGGAGGGAGAGGGGCCAGCTAGAGGTCAGTGCAGCCATTGCAGAGTGAGACCCTCAAGATCCTCCAGTGCAGCCGAAGTCAGGGAAGTGGGTCTTGTCCGGCCACTGGCCCAGCACTTATTTTGGGCAGCTCCAGAAAGAGCTGTGTTCAGGAGCAGCAGATGGAAACTGGAACTCTCATACGTGGCTGGTGTGAGATGTCACAGCTCCGTGGAAAACGTGTGGCAGTTCCTCCAAATGATCAACAGAATGACTACGGGAACCAGCCGTCCCGCTGCTAGGTACACACACCAGAGCTGCAAAATGTGACCCTGGTACACACGTGCCAGCGTGTCCTGCAGCTTTAGTCACAATAACCCAAAGGTGGAAACAAACCAAATGTTCACCCACGATGAATGGGCAAACAAAACGTGGACCTTCCTCACCGTGGAATATCATCCAGCCATAAAAAGGAATGGAGTTCTGCTGTTGGCTGCCCGGGGAAGAATCACCAGCCCATCATGTGAGGGAGCCAGACACAAAGGGCAGTTGTCTGACGCAGCTGATCTGGAATGTCTCAGAAGGAAAGAAGATTCAAGAGAAGCATCGGATTAGGAGAGAAGGGGATTAGGGTGTCATTTAATGAGTAGAGATCCTATTGGGGCAGTGAATAAATTTTAGACATAAATAGTAGTGATGGTTGTACAAGATGGTGAATGTAATTAATGCCACTGAATTTTACACTTAAAAAGTTGATTTTTAGAAGATACATATATTTTAGAAGATATATATATATATATATATATATGATATATAAAACCACAATTAAAAAGTTCAAAAGAATAGAAACAGAAGAATACATTTGTGACAAATAGAGTAGAATTTATCATGCCAAGCATAAAAGGTGTCGCAGTAAATAAATATAAAATAAACTCAACTGCAGTAAGACAATGGATCCTGTTATCAAGACCACAGGGAGGGGACCAGGAAGAGGGATCGCTGCTCTGCAGAGTGACGCGGCTTCCCGGACATGGACATTTTCCTTCTTGTGGGTTTGGCAGCACTGGCCCTGGAATGGACGTCTGTCCTTCCAAGGCTGTGTGTGGGGTCAACCACCCACCAGGGCAACGAGAAGAAGTGGCTGGCATATCACCTGCCCCATGCTGCTTCCTGGACTCTCAGTTCTCGTGACGTGTGACCCCAGAATGAAGGATGCAGACTCGGGGCAATGTCCTGGGCTGCGGGGGATCCACAGCAAGGCCAAACCACTGTGGGGAGCCATGTTTCCTGACGGTGCATGAAACTAGCACGGGAAGAGGGCCTGGGCTCTGGACAGGAACCCACAGTGGTTTTTCTTATTACGCAGCTGCTTGAGTTACCTGGGAAACGTCTCCCCACTAACCTTCATGATCTGCATGGGGAGGGAGGGGACCTGGGGTCAGAGAACAGGGTTAGGACCTGGGTCCGATGACGGGGATCCCGTGAATGGCAGGGCTCTTAGTGATGAGGGGCTCGTAACGGGCCGTTCTAGCTGTGCCCAGGACGCTGCGTGAAGCCCGAGGTTCCTGGGCAGCCGGGACCAGGCCAGGATGTCGCCATGGGGAGTGAAGTGTTGAGACAGAGGAAAGCAGGGTCCCCTCACAGCCATCTCTCCTCCCCTCTTCCCCCCGGGGACCTCTCACGGGGACAAGTCTGAGCTCCAGAGTGAAGCGGCAGAGTTGCCGGAGGGCCAGAGCATGCACAGGGGCCCACGGGAAGAACCGGGCAGCAGAGAAGGCTCCGTGCTCCAGACTCACCAGGGACGCTGTTGGATGGCATGGGGGTGGGGGGCAGGTGCTTGAGCCACCGGGGAGTCCTTCTCCAGGTTCCTTTGTAGTCCTACTGCCTGGCCGGGCCTGCTCACCCAGCACGTGGGCACAAACCCAGGATGCGCGTCCTGGTCTCCCCACCCAGTAAAGACGATGCTTGGCAGCTTCCGCCTTCAGGCCCGCTCACTGGGGTCAGCGGGCTCCTTCAGGATGCTGCCCCTGACCCACCCCAGGTAAACAGGTGCTTCTGTCCACAACCCATCAGAGGAGCACTTCGAGGGCCGTGGCACAAAAGCAATGACCAGGACACCTTTGTTTTCAATTGCAGATTTATTTCACACAGAAATCTCTACATTGTGGGTGCCACACACTCGGCCGACTCAGCAGAAAGCCACAGGAAGAGAGCGGGAGATGACCGGCCTGAGGCCCAGCCATCCAGACCTGGGAGGGACGAGCAGAGCAGACCAGCAGGCTGGCCCAGGCTCCAGGGCAAAGCAACACCAAGCAGCACTGCACGGGGGCTTCTGGAGAGGAAGGAGGGCCTTCCCCACCCTCACCAAGAGCGCCACGCGTAGGGGAGAAGTTTGCCCTGGGTCCCCAGCAGCAAAGCCCAGGGACAACTTCAACAGCAGGAGCACAGAGGGACACGCAGGCAAAGGTGGAGCTGGGTGAAGATCAGGGGCTGATTTTTAGCCCAAGACACAGAGCCAGCTCCGACTTCTGGATCTTTCCATCCTTGTTCACATCACAGTGACGCAAGAGAATCTCCCGGAACTTATCAAGGTCCACCCCGCTGATGCTGGGCTGCAGAGGACAAAAGGAGCAGGTCAACAAGCAAGGTCCACGGGGCAGCTCCACCCACAGTGTCCTCCCTGATCACCCAGCCAGCACCCTCCGTCTGGGAGCCCAGAGTGTCCCCTCACCCCAGCCGGCACTGCTAGAGAAAAGTCCTCTCCAGTGGCTTCATTCCTCAGCCTGTCCCTCCAGGCAAAAGAAAATTTTAAAAAAATAGAAAAAAGAAAAAGACTTGTATTTCTAAATGGCTTTCTCATGGGAAGTCTGTCTCATGAGCAATCATAATAAAGAGACTTTGCTGGAAGCAGAGAACTGGCATCACAGAATGCTCCTTCCTGGCCCTAGAGAGTGGAGCCATGTTCTGCTAACTCCCTGTGGGAGGCTTTGTGCCTCTGGTTGAAAGAAGGGCTGTGGAGGATGAAATCCAGTGCTTTACATTTCATGTTGAGCTAGGGACAGAGGTCTTACTCCAAAGGATGCGTGTCCACTAGGGAAAGCCTCAGCTCGAAGGTCTGAGAAGGTCAAGCAATGCTGGAACCCAGAGCTCTTCCCCAGGTGCGTGTTTCTCTTGGCCCTCACAGCAAGGCTGGGAGGGAGACAATCGCACCCCTTTTACAGATTGGGAGACAGAGGCTCAGGGAGAGCAAAGGTCCTGCCCGGCTGGAGGCTGGGCCTCATCCGTCACCCCACGGCCTCTGACCCCAGTTAAGAGCCCATTCCCCCGTGGCACTGTTCTTCTGCAGGATTGCTGTGGGGATGGCCAGGAATCTAAATTAAAAGTCAGTGTCCAGAGAGAAGAGAGACCCAGCCCAGCAGAAGCCCAGCCAAGCCCTGGGTTTCCGCCGTGGTTTTGTGAAGAAGAGAGAAAAGCTCTGCCTGCAGGATTTGATGTTAGGGGTCCTGGGAAGAGCCCCCCACCTCATCCCTGCCCCCAAGGTTTCCTGGATGGGAGGACCTCTAAAATAAACCTCAGTAGGAGAGATTGGGGGGTTGGACTCTGGGGACTAGGGATCAAGAACTCCTGATCCTTAACCAGACGGCGCATGGAGACACGCCCACTTGCACTTTCCAGCAGGGTGACTGACACCCAAACTGTCCCTGATAGCAGGTTTTTAGTAGGGAGGAGGGGCGAGAACAGCAGAAACCAGGAGCCAGCTGGCAGAGCAGGAGGAACAGACCCACAGCTTGGGGAGGGCTTCAGGGGACATCAGGAGGACAAGGAGCCTGGGAGCAGATCGTCTGGCCCACTTTGCTCCTCTGTCAAAGGTGCCCTGTGAGACCCAGATGGGACCCTTGTCAAGAGGGTCTTGGTTGGGACACACAAGGGATGGTTCCCTGGGTATCAGTAAAAGACAGGGATATGACTGTCCCCAGGAGATGGCTTGGAGTCCCCAAACAGCAACCTGCACTCAGGCCCCGTGCGGTGAGCTCCTTTGGGATGTTTGACTTTAGCTCCATAAGTGACCTTATGACAGCTTTTCTATGGTCTATGGCACCCTGCCAGTGTCCTTTGGGCAAATCTTCACCTTTAGAAGACTCATGGGAGTCATTTACGTGATAGCCTGAATCAATTTGCAGTGTATTAACCTCGTTAACCTCGTTCAAATTATTGTAAGTTTGATTTTTCTAATTGAAGGATATCAGGCTGGAGACATAGCTCAGAGGTAGAGCGCTGGCCCAGAGTGTGCGAGGCCCTGAGTGTGAGCCCCAGCACTGCAAATAAAAAAGAGAATCATAGACTTGTTTCCTGCCAAGATGCTACCTCCCTGAGGCAAGTGGAAGGTACCTCTGTGTGATTGGGTGGTGGGTGAGGACCCAGGGGACCTGTCCTTGGGCCTTTTGAGTTCTGTTTTAAAGCCGGGCATCCCACTGTGAGTCAGAGACTGGAATGCTACTGCTCAGAAGTCCACGGATCAGTGGAGACCCTTCACCTGAGGCTGTTGGGACCCTGGTCTCAGCAAGTTGCCAACACGAGCCCACAGGGTTCCCGACGTAGGGGCTCTACACACATTAATCCCATGTTCAGAACAGCCCATGAGGCTGTGCCCACCTTCATCCCTACTGTGCAGAGGAGGGGACTAGCTTAGGGTTGTCCCCAGTCATCACACTGAACCAGGATTCACACCCAGGCAGGCCCACAATCTTCCACAACTTCCTTCATCCACTCCATGAGGAAGCGGGGATGGATCTGGGATCACTAATTGAAGAAAGGCCATCTGACCCCTTGAATCCTGGGAAGTGGGGGACCATCGGGACCGGCCTCTTCCCCCACAGTAGGTGCACCATAATCAGATCAACGGAATCACTGATGACTCTGTCCTTCAGTGGCCTTCGTACATTTATCAGACCACTTCCCTTTCCTGTGCACTCCAATTCTCTAACATAAGGAGCACTCCTGCCAAACCAAGTGTCTACTGCCCCCCCTAGTCCCCAGGTCCAACCCCCAGTGTCCACTGCTCCCCTAGTCCCCAGTGTCCAATCCCCCACTGCTCCCCTCATCCCCAGGGTCCAACCTACCAGTGTCCACTGCTCCCCTAGTCCCCAGGGTCCAATGCCTCATCTCTACTGTTCCCCTAGTCCCCAGAGTCCAACCCCCCAGTGCCCAATGGTCCCCTAGTCCCCAGGGTCCAGCCTACCAGTATCCACTGCTCCCCTAGTCCCCCAGGTCCAATGCCTCAGTTTCTACTGTTCCCCTCGTCCCCTGGTTCCACCCCCCCAGTGACCACTGCTCCCCTAGTCCCCAGGGTCCAATGCTCCCCTAGTCCCCAGGGTCCAACCCCCAGTGATGTATGGGTCACCTTTATAAACTAAACATGAAAGGCACATTCGTGCTCAGGGTAGCTCTTAGGGGAGGCACATGTTAGACTCAGGCCTCTAGGTCGGGTGTTGTCCCCTCCTGCCAAACATCCTCCTGCCCACAGCAGGAGGGGACGATGATGTGGAAACACACTGAGTTCGGGGAGCCCCTCTGAGATTACAAACAGCCTCCTCATGAGGAGGGAGCTGAGGGGCTGCCGCTGGCCTGACGGATGCCCAGGAAGCCCAGAGTGGAGATCAGCAGCCCGGCCTGCCCAGCACAGGCTCACTCATCCTGCACACCCATCTCAGCCTTTCCCCATGTGCTCTCATGTGGCCAACTGCAGCCATGCAGCTCCCCTGCACCCCATCCCGGCTTCTGTTCCTATAACTGTAACTGCTCTGTGAGCTACAAGTTTTCCCTTCTCTTTAATTCTCTCGGGGGGAAAAAAATGTCTCTTCTGTTTCTGAGTTGAGTTTTACTTCCACCTTTACCTTCGGGCCTTTGGAAATTATTGCCAGACAGTGAGGACTCAAGGGCAGAATCACTGAAAATTATGAAGATTATCCAGGCTGAAAAGTGGTGATTTTTGAGAGGAAATATAGATATAGATATCTGGCCTTTCTTTTAGAAAAATCAGAAATAGCAAAGGTCAAAAGCTATAACTAAAGCTATAAAAGCTAATAGCTTCCAGATCAATTTGTGAGATCTGTATAACGGCTAATTTACTGATCTCTCAGTAACGGCTTATTATCCTAGATAACAGTGAAATAGCACAACATTATGCAGGTTTTCCTCTATAATCTTCATGTCAACCTTATGCAGGTGGGATCTATGGTGACTCCCATCTTCTGCATGAGGAAACTGAGGTTTGGAGATGCTAAATGACTTGCCAAGGTCACCTTGGGGGTCACGGCCTGGGACCCAGAACACTCAGCCTAGAACCTGAATCCCCAGCCTAGAGTCTCTCGACTACTCAACTCGTTTCTTCCTTTATTTCCAATATTTTTCTACAATATGCAGAGAGTTTTACAGTCTCTGGAGCTCTCGAGAAATCCCCTCCTGAGTGTTAACTGTTCTCAAGCTCATAAATGTGCTCCAGAGATTCCAGCTGCTTTGTTCAAATGAGCCGATCGTTTTGGGAAGTCTGACTGTCACCCAGGGACTGTGACAGGTGTTTACATCATTCCTCGTCATCGTGAAAACTCGGGAATCAGATACTATTGCGCCTATTGTGTAAGATGAAGAGTCCGTTTTGGAGAGGGCACCCTCCAAGCCAGGCTCACAGGCCACGCATCCCATCAAAAGCAAATGAAAGCCCCAGCCTGGCCCTTCCTGGTGCATGCATCTTTAATGTCCCACCAGTGAGGACTTGGTTTCTGTCACATCATCTCTTAAACAGATAATGAGAAGAACGGGGTTTTCCTCTAGCAACCAAAGCAAAGGGAAATACCACACAAGGGCCCATCGGTAGCTCTGGTGGTGCAAGAGCCCTCAGTGTCACCACCAGGGAAAACAGGTCAAGGGGGAAAGAAGAGGACAGGAACCAGCCAGGCAGGACTGACAAGAGTCAGGCCTCACAGAAGGAGCCCAGTCATCCCGACTAACAGAAGAAAGAACTGCCTGAGTCCCAGGGAGTGAACTTCCTGGAGACTTGTGCAAAAATTGATTATCTGAACACTTTTCTGTTTCAAGGCTCCATAGTTTAAATAAGATTTGCAAAGAACTCTGGGGCTTCAAAAGTGATTGATAATTGTTATTCTAATTTGTAGCTATCTGAACCAACAAGGATACATTGTATACCAAACAAACCTCAAAAAAAGGGCCTTGGGTTCAGAAATGCTGAATCCATTGTCTGCACAGTCCCTTGGAAAAGAAGGAGTTGGAAATTACCTGCTTATGCAGATTATGCAGCCAATCAACCCTCTGGGATTCAAAAAAAAAAAATGCTTGATAATTGCTAGGTATGAAAGAAAGCCCTTGGTGAGAAAAAAAAATTTACAATCCCAAATATGAGATTTGTTATATGAAATTAAATTTTGTTTCTATTTTAGTTATTCTAATAACCAAGTCTGGGGAGTTAGAAGTGATCTTCTGCAATTAAAAAATAAAATAGTAAAATATACAGTAATACTGAGTTATTTTGGTAAAGCAAAAAGATGTTTCTATAATAACTTCATGTGAGTTGAATTTAACCTTAAGAAAGTGAGGAGGTCTCTTGAGTTTCACAGACTCTTAAAGATTCTCAAATATACTACACCTCTAGAGTTTTCTCTCTGCCATTAGCCTTCTGTCTCACCCCCACAGTGAAAGACGGAATCAACCAAAACAGCAACCCCGTCCCTGACAGGATCCGCCCCCACAGCCTTGGGACATCACCTGGACCAGCTCCATCATGTCTTTGACAAAACCATCCACCTCGGGGCCTTCCAGGGCTCCAGTTTTACTCTGAAAGATAAAAAGATCCAATCACCCAGCAGCATTTTCTTAAGTTAAAAGGTTCAAGAATAAAGTGGGTGAGGAGACCAAGTGGGTGTTCCTCTGCAGCCATAAACTGATCTAGAAATGGCCTGATCCAACGTATGTCCTTCCTGTGGAACGTGATGTTCCCGTGCACTGGAGGAATTCCCTACAGACAGCTCCCTGTCACCACGTGAGAAGCAGCAGGTCTGGGTCCCTGAGCTCCTGGAAACAGCATCCGTGTGAAATTCACTGGCTGCTTCTCTCCCAAACTCCGATCTTCCATTCAGACTGCTGCAACTGCACACCCTATTGGCCCTTTGAAGGATAGGTTGACATTTTAAAATTTCATTTTATGACTGAGCAGTGGCTTGGTCATTAGGGAAACACAGAGAGTAAATCAGGGGAGCCTATACGGAGTGAACCCATTATAATTGTCAGTTGATCTATAGATAAGACTATTTTTTTCCTACCCTTTTTATAACTCATATAAACATGGATGTCTATGAAACACAAAACATTAAAATATCTGTTCTCTAACATCCCAGCGATAGCAAAGTGTCCATTCTTTTCACATTTCCTTAATCCTGAGCTTCTAATGTACGATTTTGGAAATCCCATGTCTTAGTGTATTTTCCAAGCACTATAAACATGGCGACTGCATTAGGTAGGAAGTTTATTGTCTTTATCCTCTACCTTTACAGAGAACAGAACACGGCTCCTGGAGGCCGATGAGGTGAGAAACCCGCCCCAGATCACCGTCCGCTAAGCCCTAAGGTGACTGGGACCCTGGCAGCCTCGGCCTTGACCCTGAAGCTCTTCCTCTCAGAAAAGAACACAGACATCCAGCCGGGTTGGTTCCGGGGGATGCTGCCTGCGCCTTCCCGGTTTGCTGTTTGCCTTCTTCCTTCTCTGTCATCCTGCTTGTCCTCAAGAAGGCCATCTCCTAACTGCACCTGGCGCATTAGACTGCTTTTCTCTCCCGGAACTATGACCACACAGTTGGTCCTGGAGACAGAAACGCTCTTATGGCCAAGTAGGTGCAGCCTTGCCTCCATTTCCTCGGGTTGGACATGGGGAGGTTTGTTGGTATGTTTTTATGAGCATATGATTATAAATGGACTTTTAGTCACACATAAAGGAGAAACTTTCTTAATTTTGATAGAAGGAAAAAAAAGGCATTGTGGTTTCATCCCCCTCCAACTGTAAACATGCTCTGGCCCATTTATACGTAGCTCTTGGACATCCCTAGAGGAGCAGCAGGTACCCCTGGCCTCAGAACACGCGTGCCGGATTGCCACTGGCCACATGAGTTCAGGAATGTGGGTAGGATGTGCCCACACGGAGGCCATCGCAGCGCAGGGAGACACTTACGACGTCATAGTGGGCGAAGATTTTCTCAAAGTCCCTCTTCCTCTCCTCCGTGGAGCAGGCCTGGGGTGGAGAGAGCATCCAGTCAGTCCAGCCTGGTCCTCCTGGTCCTGGGCACCTCTACAAACCTCCAATAGTGACCCTCAAGGTCACTGATTCCACTCTGAGCCTCGTCGGCGTCTAAGTAAGCTAAAAGAAGGACCATCGCCTCCTCCCCTCCTCTCTCCCTCCCCAAGGCGCAGAGGAACAAGGGCACAACTCATCTAGGGAAAGGCATACTCACGTCCATTTTAAATTGCAGAAGGAAGTTTTCCTGGAGAGCCAGGATTCTAAGGGGGAAAAATAAAATAAAATCCACATGAAGCTCCATCAGCTCTCACTCTTTCCACACCTCTGACATGAGGAACGACTCCGCGGCTTCCCGGGAAGCCAGCAGAACAGCGCGGTGCTGGGCCTTCAGGAATCCCGCCTCACGGGAACAGGCAAAGGGATGGACGGAGAGACCCATGGACGTCAGTACTGCCCTGGAGGGACTGTGGTGGGAAGGGGCTGAGTGTGGGCTCATGAAAATCCTCTCTCCATAAAAGCAAAGAGAAAACTGGAAAGAAATAATTACATTTTCAAAACTCTGGAAAAGAACCAAATTCTTGTAGCAATCCAGGAAATGCTTATTCTAGAAAACACACACACAGAGGTTAATCTTGGTAAGATGGATGAATGGTGTGCACATAGCCCTCAGGAAACACTGGAAAACACACGGAAATGAGAGGCGCCCGTCAGAAACATGAATCCACATGGAGAAACGACAAACTGACCGCCGCAGAGGTAACTACAGACACAAGTCAAAAAGCAGAAATGTAATTTTTGTGTGTAACTTTCTTTTTCTATCTCTTTTAAAAGACAGTTTCATAATGTCATAAGTAAAAATCTGAGAGCTTCATAAAGCAATAATTAAAAATCTATGAGCCAGGCACAGTAGTGCATGCTTCTAGTCCCAGCTACTCAGGAGGCCGAAGCAGGAGGATCCCTTGAGGCCAGGAGTTTGAGGCAAGAGAGCAAGACTCTGTCTCAAAAAAACAAAACCTGTTGATAGGCACGTGATGTACATGATGTTTAATGATGTAATTTGAATAACACAAAACAGTAGGCAGGGATTTGAAGAATAGATTTGAACTATATAGGAGCAAAGTTTCAGTAAAATCTTGAAATTAACTTAGGATTAATCCAAATTATGTTGTTCTAAATTTAGAGGTTAATTGTAATCTTATTCCCTGAGAGGAGGAATAACTCAAAAAATAACTTAAAATGTATATGGTAAAAGAAATAATAAAGGAATTAAAATAGTATACTAGAAAATATCTATTCAACTTAAAGGAGACACACACAGAGGAGTAATAGAAAAACAAAAACATAACAGAGAAAACAAATAAAAAAGGCAAATATAAATACTATCTTATCTTATAAATACTATCTTATCAAATATAAATACTATCTTATCAGGAATCAGATTAAATGTATGTGGATAAAATATTCCATTAAAAGCAGACATTAACAGAATGAAGGGGAAAAGTCAAGCTATTTGTATTTGCAGATGACTCAATCTTATATGTAAAAAATCCAAAGTACAAAACAAGAAACTATCAAAGCTAATAAATAGCATAACAAGGGTGCAGGACACAAGATCTCCCCGTAAAATTCAAGGCACCTCTGTTCACTAGCATTGGGCAAAACCCATGGAACTAACGCCATTCCATCCAGACAGCAGCAGAAAGAACAAAAAACTTGAACGTACACTTAACAACACAGATGCAGCCTCGAGACTGAAAAGAACAGAATATTTTGGAAAGAAATTAAAGAACACCCAAACAAAAGGCAAGAGAGCTCATGTTCCTCAATCAGAACACAGTACTGTTAAGATGACAGTGCTCCTCAAATTGAGATTCCAACAAAATCACAAAATCATCAGAATCTGACCTTATTTTATTTTTTTGCAGAAATTGACAATCTGATCCTAAAATTCATCAGAACATGCAGAGGACCCAGAATAAGCAAAATCAACTTGAAAATAAGAACAAAATTGGAGGATCTCACTTTAGATCCTTGCTCCAAATCTATAGGAATTGAGATGGTGTGGAACTGGTGTTTCCATTGGGCAGTTTATCATAAAATTATAGAATTACCATATGAACCAAAATTCCACTCACAGGAATAAAATGAAGAAAATTAAGATGTGTATTCACACACAAGCTTGTACAGAAACACTGGTGGTTAGTGACACTCCTAATATCTAAAAAGAGGAAACACCCCAAATCATGGAGTAATGGATGGGAACATGGAGTGTGTACATACTGGAATATTAGTAGACCCTAAAAAGAAATGTAGATGGGATCATGCTACAAGTCAGAAGAGCCTTGGAAACGCTATGCCAAATGCCAGAAGGAGACCTGAAAGCCGTGCCCCGTGTGACTCCATCTGTCCTAAATGCCCAGGAGAGGCAAGCATTGCTGAAGGAGTGACGAGGCTTAGACTCTCCTTTGGGCTGGGTTGTCGCTCAGTGGTACAGCGGTTGCCTCACATGCATGAAGCCCTGGGTTCGGTCCTTAGCACCACATAAAAAAAATTAATACACAAAAAATAAAATTAATTGATTAACTCCCTTTTCACCATGACTGCCATGTGTTGAAGGAATCTCTTGGACCTTGGCACTTTCCTCCCAGGACTGACTGTTTCCCGGCTGCCTGACCTCTTCTGGACAGGGGCCAGGCTTATGTTGGCCAAGAGAATCAGTGGGAAGCGGGGGGGCAGAGTCAGGACTGCGGGCTGTGACCCCTGCTGCCCCAGGCCTTTGGGAGAAACGCTCTGATCCTCTGCATCCAGTGGCCAAATCAGGATGAGGGCCTGGGCAGTGGCAGGGAGGACACTCAGGCTGCCCCACAGCCCTGAGAGGCACAGAGAGAAGTCCATCCAGGTACTGCAGCCGTGTCAGGGTCCTTAGAGGGGAGATTCTTCCAGGTGTGTTCCTCTTCCCAGATGTCCCTCAAAACAGGGCACAAGCCGCTACCAGGGAGAGACAGCTGCCCCAGGTGACATGTGCTAAGAGACAGAACTCTGCCCTGCTTGTGACATCCTCACAATATCTCCTCGTCTCTGAAAACCTGCCTACAGTCCCTGGAATCCTCCCTCCCAGCTGGCCAGAAGCTGCCCACTGCTGTGGCCATCCAGCCCGACCCTGGAACGCTGGTGTCATGGCTCCTGCCCGTAGGGTCGTGGTTACTCTGTGTATCTTGGATCTATGACTGTGACTCTAGCCATCTGCTCAGGGACCTACTGCACATTGTTTGGGCTCAGCTGGCCTTGACAGAACAAGCGGCTGTGCTTTAACCGGGTTGTCCCCCACGTACAACTCCCGCAGGAGTGGACCCCCAACATCTGCGTTAGTGGTATTAGGAGGGTGGAAGCAATCCAACTCTGGTGTTTAGAGGTGAGGGTCTTTGGGAAGTGACTGGATTAGCTCAATTGAATGGCGCTCCCTTGATGGAATCCTGGTGGCACTATAAGAAGGAAAGAGTCCGCACAGACGTGGAGATCCACACACACGCCCACCACAATGTCACACGGTCAGGGGGACCCTGCCAGAGCCGGTAATGTGCTGTTTAGACCCCCAGCTTCCAAAACTGTGAGCTAAATAATCACTTTTCTTTACGAGGCAGCCTACCTCAAGTATTTCAACATAGCAATGAAAAGCAGCCTGATACACAAAGTGGCACCGACACATGTCATGTTCCCAGGCTCACAGCCAGCACTTTTGCAATCCGGTCACTTCTGCTCTTATCCTGTCCTCTTTCATGTCTACCCTTCAGGCACCGGATGTCCCACTGAGGACTCTCCAGCACTTGGGAACAGAGCACATAACTTGTCTGGCTCAGTTGTCAGCTGTGTCCTAGGCCAACTGTTCAACATTCCCAAAGCCAGGGAATGGATTCAAGATGATTTTTTTTTTTTTTTGGTCACAGCCCCAATGTGGGGCCATAAATGTCTGACCTTTGAGGACAGGATCTGCTCATGACCTGTCCATTCACAAAATTCCATGAAAATGTTACTCATTGTACATTTTTAGGGAAAGGGCTTTCATTATCTTCACAGAGGGATCTGTCACCCCCAAAGATTCAGAAACAGGGGTTTGTTTGTTAAGAAGCACATCATCTTCTGCCCTCCAGGTGACCGTTGACCCCCCATTTTGAAAGCATGTTGTCCTCAGACCCCTAGGAAGGTGTCTCTGAATCCGTGTCCTCACTTCCACACTACTCACCTTGCCAAGTCATTAAGATCCAACCGACCATCTTTATTTTTGTCAAAGATCTTCATCTGAAATACAGAAGGAAAAACGGTTGCAAGAAATACTTGTAACAGTTCATTCTGAAAGTCATCAAGTGCTTTTCTATTTCGCCCTTCTAATTACATATTTGCCTCTTTGGCGGGGAATCCCTCTGCCTGGGGGGAAATTCATCTTTGTTACAGACTGAGTTGTATCTCAGGTCTGTGTGGGATGGCTCAGAGCACTAGCCCCTGAGTGGGTTAAGCTGTGTGGCATAACACACCCAGGTTCTCTGACTTCAGTGGCACAGGGGGGAGGGCTGGCAGGGGCTCCACGACTGCACTCTGGGACCTGCAGGGGCTCTACCTCTGCACTCTGGGACCTGCAGGAGCTACTCTCTGGCAACACTCCCAGTTACCAAGGCAGAGAGACACAGAGAATGGCAAATCACTTGCTCATTAAGATTTCATTATCTGGAGCAGGTCTGCGGCCACACCTAACCTCATAGGGGCTGAGTGGTGTAGTCCTACCTGTGCTCAGGAGGAAAACTGCAGTTATTTGGTGGACAGCAGCAAGAACCACCAGTTTCCAACAGACAAAGTGGTACTGTGCCTGATGGTCACAGCCTGAAACCTGGCTTCTTGGTTTGAGTCAGGGTTTTCTGAAATTATTTCACAGCAGCCACACAGCACACTGCTATGTTTGGATACAAGGTGTCCCCAAAAGCTCATGTGAGACAACACAAGAATATTCAGAGGCAAAATGATCAGGGAGGCATGACCTAATCAGTGGGTTGAGCCACTGATTATTAATTGGGCAGTAATTGTAGGCAGGGAGGGTGTGGTGGAGGAAGTAGGTACTGGGGTGTCCCTTGGGGGTTTGTACTTGTCCCTGGTGAACAGAGCTCTCTCTGCTTCCTGGCTGCCGTGTCCTGAGAGCTTTCCTCCTCCATGCCCTCCGCCATGATGCTCTGCCTCACTGGGCCCAGAGCTGTGGGGTCAGCCAGCCACAGAACCTCCGAAAAACCAGGAGTCAAAACGAACTTTTCCTCCTCTGCGTTGTCCTCATCATGCTTTCTGGTCACGGTGATGAAAAGCTGACTAACAGATCGATCAGCACCTCAGCCCAGGGGCTCCCGTCAGAGAGCGCCCTGTGGTGTGAGGAAATCCCAGCTTCCCAGAAGACGGAAGGAGCCAGCGCTGAGCCTCTCTCTGCTCACAGAGACTCCACGGAGCCCATCTGCAGCATTAGAGCAGACACGCTGTAGACTCGAGCACTAGTGTCGGCACTTTCTGCGCTGACCACAGGTGGGAAGGCTGGTCAGTCGGACAGGACAGAGGAGACACGTGTGGCAGGTGCAAGTCGAAATGTGAGTGAATTTTCTGACTTCACAACATTTTAAAGCCACAGAAAGTCTCCAAACACAACAGTACGAGGAGGCGGCACAGGGAAAAAGAGACAGCGAGGTCATCTGCAAACACATCCAACAGAATTTTTCATTAAAGAATCCTTCCTCCCGCTCCAAGTCCAGTGCGTTTTTGGTATTTGATTGGAAAGCCCAGGCTCCCAAAACTTGGGCACCAAAATGTACTTTACAGAATCTACTAAAGGCCCAGGGATATCTTTATACATCTGTACATAGAACATGTCCAGGGGTGTCTCTTGAACACCATGCCCAGTAAAGTCCAGCAGTGACACCCTTTGCCAGAGTGAACACTGTCATTGTCACTATGAGAGGCTCCATCTGAACAGAGAGCTGGATCAGCGGAAGCTTTCAGCCAGTGCTCACTCGTGAGCACGAGGGCCCCACTCCTCAGGGAGCTAACCTAGATGGGGAAAGCCCCTTCACTTAAAATCGGACTGAGGAAGAGCGGACACCAAGTTCATGTCAATGAGGTTCAACATCAGAGAGCAGGCCGCGTGATCCACTTAAGAACCGGAGTTCTTTTGAAAACCACCTTCTGAACTTCTCACCCTGTGCGCACATGGGGGTGAATGGTACACATACCCGGGGTCTGTCCTTCCCGTTTCCAAGGCCCTGACCTTGTGAGTTGAAGCATGTGATAAAGGGATCCTGGGGCCAGCCCACCACAGGGGCACAACCAGACCCAGGGGGAACGTCAGGACTCTGCACTATTTGGGAGAATTTTGAATTTGGCCTCTTTGTTTGGAACATAATAAGAGCTCTTAAGTTTTAGAGCTGTAATAATAGTGACCATTTGAGTTCTGATACATTATATGTCATTTCATTTCATGGTCACAACATCCTTCTAAGGTAAGAAATATCTGCCTGGCACAAATAGAAAAACCAAAGTTGAGAAAGATTAAATTTGCTAAGAAATTGGCAAGATGCAAGTCTAAGCTCATCCATGGTTGGGAAGTGTCCCCTTGAGGGCCATGCGCTAAAGTCCTGGTCTCCAGCCTGTGATAATGTTGGCAGGGGTGGGGGGACTTTCAAGAGGTAGAGCCCAGTGGAAGGTCTTAGGTGACTGGGCGACTGCCAAAGGGACTCAGGACACCAGTCTCTTCCTTTCTCTCTTGGCTTCCTGGTTGCCACGAGGTGGGTGGCCTGCTGTACCCACGTGCCCTTGCCATGATGTACTGCCACCACAGGCCCAAACACAAGGCCAAGCCACCAAGGGCCGAAGCCTCTGAAACCACTAGCCAGAGCAGGCCTTTCCTCCTTATAAGGTGACTGCCCCAGGGGTTTTGTCACAGTGACAGAAAGGTAACACAATGTGTCTGTCACCAGAGCTCTTTCAGTTAAACCAGGGAGTCTGAATGTCTCATTATGAGTTTGTTTTGTTCCATGTTCGGTTATGAAATAAAACATCTGACGCCATAGATTAATACAGAGATGTGGCGTTGGCTTTCTAAATGCCTCTCTGTCCTTGGGGAAAAGGCGATGGGTGTTGCCTCCTGCTTAGTGGCCTGAGTTTTCCTAGAGAGACTGAAACTTCAGTCCTTAACAGAATTTTTTTTTTCCTAACCTTAAAAAGAGATCAACATCTTTATCTGGTAATTATCATATTACTGTGTCAAGGAGCACTTAGAGCCCCTTCTTCTGTTATCTGTCTACAATTATTTACTGAATCGAAGAGGAGCCCTCTCCTCCCCCAAAAATCCTAACTAAGCTTCTCCAGAAATCTTCACCATGATTGATTTTAAGACTCTGAGCAAAAGAGTCTCGACAAGGGTTCAGCGTGGGTGAACCCCCTATGTTCCTGATGCTCTGTTTTACTTGGCCAGCCGTCTGGGGAAAGTCGGCAGTTCAGGTGCTGGACGCCCCTTTGCTTGTTTTTCACAAACATGTATCCAGCCTAGTAGTTTGTAGAAGTGTTTGCAAATGCCAAATGTGATAAAAACGACAAATCCTTTAACAAGGCCTCTGGCCTTGAGCTGGGCTTCACAGAGATGTCTACATTTTTAAGATAAGTTACCAATTGGGCTCCATGGTAACAGCTGGCAGGGGGAGGAAAGAAAGGGGAGGAGAAGCTCTCCCCTTCTCAGGTGTGGTCCTTGAAGGGTTAACTTGCCCACAACAGTGAAAGAAAAAGCTGCTTTTATGTGAACTTCTGAGCCCCTCCCCTTAAACTCTGAAACTCCCTGAACTCAGGGTTCAGGGGATTGATTGATTATAGCAAAAGCTGTGCCCTCTGAGCCTGGCTGCAGCCAAATAAAATGGTTTCTGGCTGTCTTTGGTGCCCTGCCTCGTCTGTCCCCACAGCAGAATAACAGTTTAATGATACGCCGGGTACTGCAAGAGATCCCCGGAAATTGCCACAGTGGCACACACCCTTGGGAGCGGAGAGCAGAGACAAAATGCAGGTCTGAAATGCAGGGTGACCAACAACACTGGCGTTATCCCTGTGGCCTCCGAGAGCAGGGGGTGGAGCGAGCACCTGGCCCTGGGGAGGACAGAGGCGGGAGAGGGGGCTTCCAGCAGGCGGGGAGGACGGGGAGGAAGGGAGGACGATGCAGGTGGACACAGGGCAGAGCTCAGCTGGAGGTGCAGGCAGAGGGCTGCCCGCAGAGTCCGACTGGGAGGAGGGTGCCGGGTAAGTGGGGGGACGACGGCCAGGCACAGAGGGCTCTGAGGGCCAAGAAGAGGAGTTTGCAGTCTGGCAGGTTCCTAAGCACGTCGGTGGCATCTGCCATTCACTCATTTCTTCATTCAACAAATATGCATTCACCGGTGCTTTCATTCATTGGACCCACACTTTGAGCATCTACTGTGAGCCGGGCACTGTTCAGCTCAGGGAGCAAAGATTCCTGCTCTCATGGAGAGGATTTTCTGGAGAGGGGAAAAGGGTCAGCACCAGGCAAATCGGTGATGAAACTCCATATGAAAGTCCACATCACGATTCTACCTATGTTAAATTGAGTAGTCTGTGGAGCAGCAGCTGGGGGGGGGGGTCAGCTTGGAGCCGGTGGTCATAGAAAGCTCCTTTGAGGGAAAGAGCAAGCCACGTGCATACCTGGAGCTAGGAATATCCTGGTGGAGATACGGGGAGTGCAAAGGGCCAGTGGCAGGTGGCGGCACCCTTGGTGGAGACTTCAGGAGACAGAGCCTGGTGGGAAGGGGTCGGTCACTGGGGCATGCTTTCGCAGACGTACCTTGTCCTCAGACCCTGGCCTGCTCTCTCTCTCTCTCTCTCTTCCTCCTTGCCTGCCATGAGGTGAGCAGCCTCTTCTGCCACATGCTCCCCACCCTGGTTCCACCCAAAGCAAAGGAACCAGATGACCTTGGACTGAAACCTCTGAAACTGTGAGCCAAAATAGATCTTTCCTCTTTTAAGTTGATTTTTCTCAGGTATTTTGTCATAACAACCAAAAATTAAGTCCCTAGCCTCAGGTATTTTGTTGTAGTTACAGAAAATGGCTGATTAGAAAAGGAACTCATACAGTAGCCAGTAAGATGGGCCGATTAGATGTGGAGTAAGAGAAAAAGAGGCATCAAGGATGATTTTGAGAGTTGTGCCTTGACCAACTTGAAAGATCATATTCTCCCTAACTAAGATGAAGAAAAACAGCCCGTGGTTTGTGAGGAAGGTCGTATTTTCAATTTTGAAGATGATACATTTCCAGCCGCATCCAAGAAATTCAGAGGAGTGGTCTGAGTCAGAGAGAGAGATTGAGGTCATTAACTTTAGCGAGTCTTTAAAACTACAGACTAATCGAGATCACCAGTAGAGAGAAGGTGGACCCAGAAAAGTAAACCACCTCAGGACTGAGCCCAGGCCCATCCCAGGTTGGCATGGATCGGAGAGGGGACACCTAGAACTAAGGAAGGAAGAAAGAGACAGCGGCTCACCCAGGCCTGACCGACAAGAGCCACAGCTGCCGGGGATGGGCCCAGCTCCACCTCATGCAGTTCTCTTTGTCTGCCCAAGTGCTGGATTTCAATGTGTTGCCTTACACTATTTCATGCTCTAATCTGGGACGTGAGTGTCTCTCCCAGAGGTACTTGCTTACGTTTAATAAAAGTAGACATTATTTAATAACATCCTGTCCAGATGGCTAATCTGTCTCCTGCCTGGTGTGGGCAGCACCTCTCGGTGCAGTGTCAGGGCCCTTGCTAATAGGCCCACCCTGGGCCAGCAGCTTTCCTCCCCGGGGCCTTTCCCCATGATGGGCCACCACACGTGGACGGAGAGCCATGGAGTCGGCTGTCTCTGGACTGAGACCTCTTCTAAGTTGTTCTTGTGGGGTATTCTGGTCACAGCAAAGCCTGCTGGCTCACATAGGACAATACCCAGACACATACGTCACTGTCACACTCAACTCCCCCATTCATCCGTACATCTCATTGATTCCACTTAGTGACAGATCCGGTTCTCAGCTCTTGCCCACCACGACCTGGCGGTCCTCTTGCCAGGGTCTCACCCGGATGGCAGCACCTCCCGGGGCTCTTCTTGATTCCACCCTTGCCTGTGTCAAACTCGTCAACACGGCAGCCCCTGCTAAATCCTCTAGCGGCTCCCCTTTGATTCAGTCTAAACCCAGATCTCCGTGATGGTCTAGAAATCCAGGCTCGTCTGGTCCCTGTTCAGACCCCTTCTCACTCTGCGGCAGCCACATGGGTTCTCCCTGTTGGCAAGACCCAGGCACACTCTTGCCCAGGGGCTGCTCTCGCTGCACCCCAGTCCTTCCAGGCATCTCACCTTCCCAGGGGGCCACCCTGATGCCCACAGGAAGCTGCCTCTTCTCCCCACTCACCGCCGCCCAGGGCACCTGCAGCCCTGGCCTGGCTCCACTTTTCCATCACCCTCCACCCGCTCCTGCAATGGATGCATTATTGATTGCATTTACTGAGTCCTGCAGCCTCCCCTCTGCCTCTGGTGTCACCTCTGAATCACCAGGGACTAGAATAGTGCCTGGGGCTTAATGAGAATTTCACAAATATTCACAGAGTGAACTGGATGAGTGACTATGTTATGAAGACCGCAAGCACCCATGGTGCTGGGGGCACAGAAGAGCAGCCCTGGATTTGCCAGGGGAGAAGGTCCTGTGAGGCTCTCAGGCAAAACGGCATGCAACTGCATCTCAAAGGACTAACAAGAGCCAGATGAAGAAAAGTCGGGAAAAGATGAGCCAGGCTCGACTAAGCAGTCAGAAAGTAGTGGAGTGGGAGACGCCCTCCGAGCCCCTGGGCTTCATGGGAGAAAAATACCAGGAACTTATGCTGGAGATTCAAAATGCAAATATATTCATTATGTCCTTCATGTTTTATAAGTTAATAAAATTGAGATAACAGCCAGCGCCGACATTCTGTCATTAAGTCAATGTTTAAAACATGCTCAGCTAGAGAGACCCTCCTTGTTCCGTCCCCAGCAGTTTCAGCCTAATTGCCCCTTTGCATGTTCTTTATTCCATTACAAGGTTTCCCTGGTGCTTAGTCAAAAGGGACCTGGAGCCAGCTCTGCAGCAGGGAGGCAGCTTCCTGAGCTGGGATTGTCCGCTCCCCCGTAAGTGCTGGGCACATATTTACACAGGGTTTTGGATGTCGTTTTGTGAGCTGTTTAAACAAACCAACAGAGCAGGTCGCCAGTCAGTCTCCTCAGTGAGATCCTGCCCTGGGGTGTCATTCTCTCCTGGGCATCACCTTTTTTCCTGTCCAAGCCAATCACAACTTATCATGGTCCCGGAGACTCGCTTGACTGGGGTCAGCATTCAGAGCCGCCAGGGTCCAGAGCGAGAGGTAGGGACGGGTCCAGAAAGGCAAATCGGGACAGCTTCCAGTTCAGCTGGTGCCCTCGGCTGAGTAACTGAGTTTCCTGGGTTATCGCACCTTAAACCAACTTCCAGTGGTTGCAAACGCCAACTGAGGGTCTGCATAGATCACGCTGGGGGCATGTTTAACAGAACCAGAGGCTCTTCCCACTACCCGCCCGGCTCAGCAAGGTGGGTCTGCTCCAGAACTCCTAAGGTAATGAGTGGAACCACCCACAAGCACATGATTCAGCCTCCATCAGCAAATGACTTGCTTTCTAATGAAGAAACCTGCAGATCTGATGAAAGGCAGCTCACACTGGTGGCGGGGGGAGGTGGGGATACGGTGAAGGCCACAGGCAGAGGAGCCAGATTCCATTCAGCACAAATAGTGGACTAGGGCTGGAGAGACGCAGGGAGGTAGAAACAGGCAGAATGGGAGAGCGAGTCATCGGGGCAGCTCCTCACACCTCCCCATTTTTCAGGAAGCCCGACGCTGACGACATCTCTGAGTCATTTGGGACAAGGATGTTGTAAGTGTGACATGGTGACAGCAAATACCACAGTGTGCTTCAGATGCGGCAGCTCACTGCCGTCAAGGTGTCTAGGCACCGTTAAATCCATGTCACTACAGACCTGAGTGATGCTGGGAGGCTAACACTTGTCCTAGGTCGTGGCCACTAAGTGGCAGGAAGATACATCCCCCTCTTTCTGACCCCCCCACTACACAGAACCACACACCAGATGAGCAGAACCGTCCCCGAGGGGCAGGCATGCCCATCTGATTGTCCTAATCACCTAGGTCCATGTTGACTTTTTCCCTGTGGCTTTTGTTACCACTTGGGCTGTTGGCCTGGCGCTGAGAAGCCTGACGTTGCCTGGACTTCCCTCGGCTCCCCAAAGACAGCAAACAGCCTCTCCCATGCACACAGCCTGTTCCCAAGAGAAAAGCTAAAGTGATTCCGCTTTAGCCAGTGCTTTCGGGAGATGAGGCTTTCTGGTGCACGCAGTTGGTCTCAAAAGAGGAGCAGGGGGAAGGAGCACTGGGGAGAGAAGTTCTGTCACTCACCATGGTGCCCGTGTACTCTTCCAGCTTAGCCTCGGAAACAGCCTTGTGGTGGTGCAGGAAGAGGTCTCGGAGGAAGTTCTGTGACACCAGAGAAAAGTGACACTGTATGTCATAAGTAAATAAGCTGCAAAGCTCTGTAGAGGCCTTATTGACTGTGTTTGTTTGAAGAAGGAGGTAGGATGTTTTTGACAAGCAATAAGTCCAAGCATGGAGGGCTGTCGCTGTTAGAAGGGAACTCAGGGAACCCAGAGAATAGCTCCAGGCATGAAAAAAAGCGAAAGTGCTCAAGTGCACCTCTTTGCTAAAGAGAGCGTCACAGCCCGCACCTGCTGAGTCTTCTAAACAGGCATGCTTTTTTCTTTCTTTCTTTTTAAGTAATCTATTCAAATCCATGTTTCTTAGAATCACGGAAATCAAACTCATGATGCACACATATCGAATCGCCAAGGACAAAGACCCCTCCCCCCGCGACTGTCCCCAGGGACACTTACGTGAAGCTCAGCTGCTGATATGAAGCCACTGCTGTCGGCATCGTATTTGCGCCAGATCTGAAACACACAAAAGTCTTTAAGCGATTTGTCCTCAAAAGCTGAGGGATGGACTTGTACTGGTGTCCCCCATGGCTCAGCATCTGAAAACTGTCCCAACTGGTGCAAGTAAGACTTTCACAGGGAATTTCAGGCTTCCTTTGGTGACAGTGATTGGGAAGAACTCAGCCAAAGTGGAACACTGTGTCCACGTGAAGCCACTTGTAAGGGTCGCATGCTCCCATGGGAAGGCTCCATATGAAACGATACGATGAGATGCATTTCAACACTGTGATATGGCAAGGAAGAAAGCCTCGCTGTGCTGTGCAGGATGCTACAGAAACAACTCTGGACCCCTGAGAGACCCACACGACAGCGCAGCGCCGACCCAGAGAGGTAGTGCAGGGCTGAAGCCAGCCTGCCTCGTGGTCTGCCATCCCTGACTACGAGCTGCAGGTCCGTCAGACAACTAGCCTCGAGGTGGACACGTGACAACCTGGCACCCACACAAGTGGGAAATGAGATTGAGTCACCTGCTCAAAGCTGAGACGCCAAACGTCAACGCCTCCCAGTGAAAGGGGGGGCTCACACACACTGCGGGGACACGGTGACCTCGCCTGCATGGCCGTGGCTCCGGGTGGAGGGGGAGGCTACCTCCGGTGACTCCCAGGGGCAAGCCAACCTCCCACTGGTTTGCGGCCACAGCTGCGTCCTGAGCTAGGAGACAGAGCTGGAGATGTGATCAAAGCCACGAGCCGCCTGCTCATGAATACTGCTCCTTGAATGAACCACCTCTGCCTCCCGGGGACAAGGCCCTGGCTCCCACACAAACCAAGGCAGCCCAGAGCAGTTGTTTAGGGAGCAAGGATCTCCTTCATCCTAAATGGGTGGTCTGTGGTTCCCCCGGCAGGGACCTCCATCCTGCACACAATTAGGACCCAACCTCAGACCCCACCAACAGAGTGAGTGGGCGACTCCAGGCGGACATTTAGTGAGAACTGCTCAGAAAGCCACTTCTTCTAGCCCCTGTCATTTGTGTCTGAATCAGCCAGACTTCTAAAATCAATGAGGTGAGTGTGATTTCTATCATATTTTTGGATGAACATACCCAAACTATGAGAATTTCACATAACTCCTCCAACCATTTTTACAGACTCTTTAAGTGTTTTTCTCCACGCATTCTCCAGCTCCATGAAGTCATGGTCTTACTACAGCTGAGCCATGGGGGGCCAGAGAGCTTTCTGTGAATCTCAGCAAGCCTCTCTCTAAAGGAAGAAGGCCAAGTAAAGAGAGATCCAGACAAACAAAAACAGTTTATTACCAACAAACCCTTAGGAAAAACTCCTGGAACAAGGAGAAACACAAAGAAGGAAGTCTAAGCAACCGTAAGCAGAGATAATGTAGGCAAACTGAAAAGGATCTCGGCTGCATAAAATCCATGGCATGTAGAAAATTAGGCAGAAATAATGCCCTGTGCAGAAAAGGCACTTGAGCTAGTGAGTGTGTGTTAGAGCTAAGGGCCTGTGGTTCAGGGGAACAGTGGACACTGGGGTTTCCTAAAATACATAGGATATAATGGGCTGCAATCAATTTAATTAAAAAGTAATTCAAGGGCCGGGGACATAGCTCAGTTGGTAGAGTGCTTGCCTCGACTGCACAGGGCCCTGAACGTTCTTCCTCATAGAACAAACTGACCAAGTAGAGGGAAGGAAAAATATAGAATAGATATATTCTTAAAAAGATAAGACAGCTCCTTAGTTCTGTTTCCTTTTCCCATTTCTCAAGGTTATTCTGAAAAAGTCCTAACACGCTAATACTTTTTTTTTTCTGATTTTAGAAATAAATGATGTTCATCATTCAAAATTAAAGATATATTAAAAAAACTATACTATCCAGAAATCCCTACCCCAGAGATGATTACTTAGTGTTCCTTTCCATTCTGTTTCTATTACATATAAAACAAAACTGAATTGCTGGTCACATTATCTACACACTTGGTTGATTTATAAATTTTATTTAAAACTTCCTGTGAGCATTTTTAAACATAATTAAAATCATTTTGGAAATGTCTTGAAAGTAACTTGTAAATGATTTTATACAGAACTAGAAAACACAAAGACTATGAAAATGTCCTGAAATCCTACCATTCACAAATAACCATAATTCATCAGTATTCATCTATGCAGGTGTTAGGGAAAACAGTGTTGTTTTTTTTTAAAAAAATAAATTAAGATCATACTCTATGTACAAGTCCATTTCTTAACATTACATTGCACATCCGGCATGTCATCAAATATTCTTGGAAACATGACCCTTGGCGATTCAATGACGCATGCTGCCCAGTAGTGGGACTTTCCCTAAGAAGATGTAGCCTCTAGAAGGACCCTGGCCAGTACTCAGAAGCACTGTGGAAGGAAGGAATCATACGAGGTGTCATCATTTCCTTTATTCTTCCTTCATTCAGAGTTGGTTAGGTTCTTTTTTCTCCCAATTCTGGGGATTGAACCCACAGCCTTATGCATGCCAGGCAAGCGCTCTACCACTGAGCCCCAGCCCCAACCCCTTCAGTTTTAACTCTTAAGTAACAGCACAGCATTTAATGGACAACGTTCTAAAGAAAATTTTTTTCTACATTTTCGATTACATCCATAAAATACATACCTGGAGAAGTAGAATTATAAAGTCAGTATGTAAATGTTTTTAAGTAATTCTGAATCATGAAGTTTTAAAGTTTCCTGATTTAATTTTTGCAAAATTACTTTCCATAAAACTCTTCCACAATACACACCTGCCACAGAGCATCAGTGAACAATCTCAGGGTTTGGGTTTTTTTTTTTTTTTTTTTTTTTTTTAGTGGCACTGCATATTTTTATAGATCTTCTTAAAATCTTGACCACTTTGATTGTGAAAAATTAAGTTATTTTATTCACATTCCTTGGGTTATTGGATATATTTATGGTCCACTCAGATTTCTTCTGTGAACAGCCTGTGTATGTGCTTGCTCGATTTTATATAAAGGTAAAAAATAGTGCCCGCTCTGTCCTGTGCGCACAACTGTCCCTCAGGACAGGCAGGAGAGGGGGCAGCCACACCCCCCTCCCCATGTCAGGCCACTCACCTGCATAAACTCCACGCTGCTGTCCAGGGGGGTTTCCAGGCGAAAGAACAGAAGAAACTTTTCATCCTCAGACAAGAACATACTGGCGAGCTAAGGGGACAGAGGAGCAGCAATCAGGGACACTTCCCCGGGTCCATCAGGGAGTGCTTGTGGACGCAGGCCACAGGGCAGAAGGGCTCAGCTCTCCCTGAATGGAGTTCCCTGCCCTTGATAACCCTGCGTGGATTATGGGTTCTTTCAATAATTACCATTCTCCTACTAGGTGGGAAACACTGTGGATAACTGTTTCCCATGAGCTAAAAATACAAAATAATGATGATAATAATAAACTTGTTCAGCATTCAGTATGTTCCAGTTACTATTCTAAGAACCTCCCATATTAAATAATCAATGATAGAAAATAGGAATAGTGAATAGTGAATAATGCTTACCTGGGCTTACAGGTACTGTTCTAAGTGCTCATTTAATCCAAACCACCTCCTTTGAGATACACATACACCACTGCTATTTCTTTCAAATTATAGAAACTAGGCCACATGGAGATAAAGAATTCATCAAAGTCATGCAGTGAGTAAGTGGGGAGTGGAGTCTTCAAGTCAGGAATTTCAAGCCCCGCCCCCCCGCCCACTGCCGCGCAACCATGAAGCTTTGCTGGTGGGATGCTGACCGTGCAAAGAATCTCAGTGCCGTGTGCAGAGCAGGAATGACTGCTGGCTGCGGGGTTCTTGAGTACCGACTGTGGTCTATGCTCTTTCACATCATTAGAGTTTATATGATGCTACAAGAGTTGGCTGAAGTGTGATAAATCCAACCAACAAGCTTCCTATGTAAGCAATTGATGTACTTCACTCTTCATTTATTCCAAACAAAGGTGACATCTTGTTCCCCTATAGGATCATAATTCTGTCTCACACCTAGGCATTTGACAGGGTTCATTGCACCTAGGGGACTACTGTGTAAGCCATCTTCCTTCTGGGTCAGCCCATAAACAATGATTGCTTTTCGTAACTGATAGTTGTCTCAGCATCTGGTATAATGCCACAGAGCAAGTCCAGCACACGTGAGGTGGGTGGGCTCTAGGCCAGACTGGTTCACACGCTCGTTTGGATTCGAATCAGCTCAAGAGTACACCATTTTAATAACTGTTATCACATACTGGGTGCTGGGTGCCTACCACATGGCCGGCACGGATAAGGTGCTTTTCATTTATTATCTCATTAAACTCTCACGTCAACCCTTCAGGAAGAATAAATACCCCCTTTTTTACTGTGACAGGCTGGACTAGCACCAAATTTCTCCTTATTACTTACCAATTGTTTGATCTTGGACAATTTAATTGACATATCTAGATATTTTCTCATTTATAAAATGGGAACGATAATATTGGCATCTGATGCTTATGTGGAAACTAAAAATAAAATGAGCCCATATTCGTGAACTGCTGTAGCAAAGTACCTGGTGTTTATTCAGCCGTCATAAGTGGTAACTGCGATGTTAGCACTTATCACATGGTAATGGGATTCAGCCTCAGAGACGTGAAATGACCTGCCCATGGTTACATATCCCCCACGATGACTCTGTGTTCGACCCTCCAACCCACATGGTCAGCTGGGACTAGGAATGGCTCTTCAGGACTAAGCAGTGCTTTTCACATAGGGAGGGCTCAAGCCAAGAAACCCAGTTAGACATAGTTCACTTACGCCAGGCCTTTACGACCCCTCTGTACCTCCACTTTTAGCTGGAGTGGCACGGAGGTGTCCTGGGCACATCAAACACACAGAGTGTCCACAAGCCCTACTTCGGCTCTTGGTCATGAGCTCTTCTCCGTCTTACTTTTCACTCGACCATCTAAACTGTGTCAGCATGACTGACTTTATGTCACGACTGCATGCAATTGGAGTAAGTGAAACGTCACTGGTAGCAAGGAGAATACGGGGAAAATAGAGACCTTGCTGCCAGAGACTTGCAGAGCCACGAGGCCTTAAGGAACCTTGGGAAGGACCTGGACCTACACTACCAACTTCCCTACAAACAGCCACCACGGTCACACTCACGGGCAGGACTCTAACCACATGGCAGCCTGTTGCTCAGGAGGGTCCACCTGGTACTAGTGAGAAAACAGCCACTTCTGAGCTATTTGCCATGCTTCACATCCATGGGGGACATCAACAACTAATGGAACACCACTGTGTGCTGTGTCTGCTCCAGGGCTGAGAACGCATCAAGAACCCTGCGGTCACGAGCACTAGTTCTGTGCATCGAGCTTCGTGTTGCATTTACTTCTGACATACTGATATTTTCATGTCAATTCTGATGTGAATCGTAGGTTACACGTGAAACTTGCCTTTGAGTACAAAACAATGTTGGAAACAGCAACCCTCATAAATCTAGGGTTTAGCTTATTAATTTTCTGAAAAGGCAGCCTCCGTTCACTTTTCATAGAGACATTATCCTGCTCTAGTACCATAATTCCCTAAGGAAATTTCCCTTTTATTTTTTTCGATGATATTGACTGTAATGCAGTCAGCCATGTTATATTGTCAGCCTGCTACATGTTTTGTTTACTGAGAGTCTCTTAATAGCACCAAGAAGCCAGATGGAATGATTGACTTATACTGCCTGGTTTGTGGGGGGGGGGGAGGGGGGAGGCCTTACAAAGCATTTCTCAGAACATATGCTGTCAGTAAAGAAAGCTATTTTCTGTTATGTTTTGTTTTAATGATCATCAGAGACAGATCTTTCCAACCTCCACTGGCATTGATGCTAAAGTTTGTTTAAACTTTATTCATTCATTTATTGTCAGTAAGTTTTTTCCTTATACAAGTTCAATTTGAACAAGACACTGTGAAAAGACAATGTTGGGTCGAGTAACCAAAAGACATCCGCCACCTCAATTCCCCGATGATAAGACAGGTATATTGATCAACCCTCATAAGACCAAGAAAGCCCTGCACACTCTTCATTACTAGGCAATTGAGCAGATGAAAAAGGAGAGGCGACTGCTTCAAAAACGGTATCTAGGCCAACTGCCCTGCAGAAGGCTCGTATTTCCCAGTCGAATGGATGTCAGATTCCCGTTGTCTTTCACGGGAAATCACAGCCCAAGAACGACAAGTCAAGAAAGGCACAACCCAGAAAGGCACAGTGGCGACAGGTACCTCTTTCATCTGCACGCGGGTAGGGGCCTCAGGCGTGGTCACCAATCGCTGTTTCAGCCTGCGCGTGTCTTCCTCCAAGACGGCCTCCTGCAATGGGCACACACACCCACGTTAGTGCAAGAGCAAGCACGGAGGGCACAGCCTGGTCCCGGTGCCACTGAGGAGCAGATTCCCCAGCCTTTTAGAAAGACTCTCTCGTTGTGGGGCACGGCACAGTGCAGGGGACTTCAGCAACCCAGCACCTACCACCGTCTGACCAGGTGAAGTTTACAGTCAGTGAGTCACTAAACTACAGAGGAAAGAAGCTGAGAAACTAAAGTGCTTTAAGAGTGAACTGGAATATCATTATAAACTCAGCTGTGAGAAACAATGGCACTGCAATTAATATATATGTGTTTTTCCCAAGAACTCAGAGGCTTTCCATTTTTAACTAAACAATTCAGTTTGGGGAGCACCCTGGCTGCTGCAGGGTATTCTCTTGATCTTCTCCTTGTACCCACTGAGAAAAGCATCATTATAATAGGGAAATAATCAAAGACTAAACCAAAGGAAATGATCGTTGGCTCACCAAAGAGGTTATCTCTTATCCACAGCCTTCCCTACAGATGCAGTTACCTTCTTGGGTGGATTTTGGGGGTGCTGCAGGGAACATGAACTATGAAGAATGAACTCTGATGTCAAACGGAGGGCACAGAGCGTCTCCGATGTCGCCCAATTCAAAGATTCCATCCTCACTGCAACTTGTACTTAATAATGTCTTATTTCTTAATATGCTCACTCTAGTCCTGGTCCCAAAGTCTCCAGCTGTGAGTGGCAGGACTGGGAGGAGGTGATGTCCACTGACCACCATCCCCGCTGGTGTTGGGGACCAGGGGACTCGGAGCTGCGGGAGACTTTGGATGTGTCATCTATGCACATGTGTGCAGGAAAGTGCGCTGGTGGCCTTGAACCTGCCCAGGCCTTCCTCTGCTGCTCTCAGAATAACAGTAGGAAGCGCAGGGAGAGCTGGTGCTGAGATGAAGCACTCACTGGAACACCCCGGACCCCTGGGGCTCCCTTCCTGCGCCTCCCAGCACCACCCGGGGAACCCAGGACAGCCGCTTTCTACTGAGCAGCTTCCCCACGCCAAGCACAGCGCCAGCCCCTGGTGGTGAGCAAAACGGCCTGGGCTGCCCTGGGGCACAGGCTGTGGAAGACTCTTTGTCCCGCCTCCCTTTCCACTGGGACCTCCCCCTGAGGGACTTCCACAATGGGAGGCCACGGGGGAGAAAGGGTGGTAGAGAAGGACAGAGCCAGCCTCTTCCTTCCACAGGTGGCATCTCCTGGTCTAGAGGACCACCTCTGCCTTCCAGAGCCTGAGACATGGAAAGAGGCCCCTTTCATGTCCCCAGCACCTGTGGCTGCCCTCAGCCACACGCTTCCTTCGGACCAGCCTCAATGCAAAAGAGTCCAGGAGAAAAAGCCTCAGGCTCTCCTCTTGAGGGTCTGGGACTCCGCCCTCTCGTGTTACTGGTGAAACAGGCCAAAAGGATGACTTTCCCCACAGGTGGACAGAACACCACCGGGACCAGCACTTCCACTCCCCGGCCCAGGGCCCTCTGCCCCACACGTGGCTCCTGCCCCATGGGAGGCAGCAGCACCCACAGGGAGCCCGGCAAGAGGCAAGAAGTGGTTTATAAACAGGAAACAGTTCAAACAAAAGGTGAGAACTTGACTCACTTTGGGAATTTTTCAGGATGGGTTTCAGCAATTAGCTAAATTACAGGATGCTTTAAATATCATAAGACCCTGAAATTTGAAGTCTAGTTCTTGAAAAGCCAGGTGGCACCATGCTCAGGAGAAGTGACTCTGTGCTGGGGAAGACCAGAAGGTCATTGCAGGGCTGTGGCCCCCAACACAGGAGGTGGGCGCACAGCAGATGCTTGGCCGGTGGTTCATCACGGTGAGGAGAGAGAAAGGCTCTGAGCTGAGGTGAGTTGAGCCGCTGGATCCCTGGTGTCATTTTAGTTTTTGCACTCTGAAGGCTGACGTGAGCGCCAGGTAGATTCATGCCAAACTACAGCGTGTCTCCCCATCTGACCACTCTAACAACTCGCTAACTTCGTCAGCATGTATAAAGTGAAACTGCACCTTTTTTTTCCCCTTGTCACCTTTTGCTGGAGGGGGCTCAGAGCACATTGCAGTGAAGGGGAGTTCCTTTGTACAAAGTTAGAACTTTTGTTAACAAGAACTCGAGATGGCGTCTACAGGCAAAGCTATTTTTAATTAAGAAAAAAGGTAAACCCAAAGCACGCGCATTTGTGACAGAGATAATGCATTCATCAAATGGATGGTGTTCCATCATACCGGGGCCATCTGCTAGATTAATGGCTTTGGTTTTGTATTTAGAAACCCCCAAATGATTAAAATCAGAGGTCTTGGACAGATTGACTTTGTAAGTACATCAACCAAATGTGTTTGCTTGATGATTATGAACAGGGACCTGGTTTTTAGAAAGGAACACTTTCTTAAGTGAACACCCACCAAACAAAACATACAGAGGGGAAAAAAAGACATTACAACATCTTGGGTGAGGAAGGGGGAAATACCACCGGGATCAGTCATCTAAGCCCAAGTGAGTGTGGTGGCCCTGAGGTGACTCACTTGTGGTCACCACCTCCCTGGAGTAGGGTGGTGGCAGGTGGGACTTCAGGATCATCTGGCTTGGCTTGGAACTTGCTCTCACAAACGGGAGTCCCAGGGACAGATGTGTTTATTTTGGATATTAAAAGCATTTTAGTGGTTTAGAGAGTAAATGCCAATCATCTTGTGTGGCGTAATTTGGTGGTGGTTCTAAAGCAAAGAGGATCCAGAATAAATACTGTGAAAACAAAGGAGCCAGAAGAGACTATGTCACCCTAAGAACATGAGGACAGCAGGCACTTCTCCAACTAAAACGCTCTTCTCACTTGTGGTGTCTCACCGTGAGACAGGCAGGTCCAAACATGGTTATTCCCACTTTATGGACAAAAAACTGAGGCCCAGGGAGCTTAAATGGCATATTGATGTCACCTCACACGGCTGTGGTTGCAGAGCCAGGATGCCCACACAGGATTTCTGTGTCCACCACAATCATCTCCCCACCACAGGGCTTCTCTGAAGTGCACCTCTGGAGGCAAGGAGCTTTGCCTTTGCCCTGTAGAAGGTGAACAGTTCTCCTGCGATTGCAAGATCTCCTGTCGACCAGGTTTCCCCATGTGATGTCACTCAGAGCCTCGACTAGCCTGTCGAGTCTCAGCACCACCATTGTGTGTTTGAGTGCTGTGATGTTGTTCCCTGTTAGGGATCAACTTGATCAGATTATAAAGCACCTAGAGGGCGGGGGCTGTAGCTCAGTGGTAGAGCACTTGCCTAGCATGTAGAGACCCTGGGTTCAATTCTCAGCATCATGTAAAAAATAAATGAATAAAATAAAGCTATATAAAAAAGTTACCTCATTAAAAAATAAATAATTACCTAGAAAGCTGGAAGAGCATTATTTGGGGTATGTCTGTGAGGGTGTCACCCCAGGAGGTCAGCATGCAGTCTGAGTGCACTGAGTGGGGAAGATCTGCCCTTAGTGTGAAGGGGCACTGTTCAAACGGCTGGAGTCAGAGAGCAAAGAGAAAACAAATTGCTGTCCCTGCTCAAAGTCCAGGACATGCTCCTCTCCTGCCCTGGACATCAGAAATGCAGGCTGTCTGGACCCTGGATCCAGGACTCACACCTGCAGCCCCTCCACTGGGTTCTTCCACTTCGGCCTCCAGCTGAGAGTTGCAGCATTGGCCTCCCTGACCTTGAGGCTTCAGGACTTGGACTGAGCTGGGCTACCAGCACCCCAGGTCTCCAGCCTGCAGACGGCCTGTCGTGAGACTTCTCAGCCACCACAGTCACATGAGCCGAGTTCTGGTCTAGCACCTCTCAAGGTCTCGATGCATACCCTACTGGTTCTGTCTTTCTGCACAGCCCTGGCTTAACACAACGTGCAGACCCACGTAGGCAGAGCACCAGGGAAAACGCTCAGCAGGGGGCGAAACACTTTGAATTTCAGCTTGACCTTTTAGATGAAGAACTCTGCTGGGACCGCCATCTCCGACCTCTGGATCATAGTATCTGTTGATCGATACATTATTATTCTTTATGGTGGGCTGGGCACTCCCAAGGGAAGTGAACTCGCAGAGGCCACATTGGTGAACCCTTAGATTTCAAAGCAAATAAATGTGGAGCCAAAGAAGCAGGGACCAGGTTCTACTAATGGGCCAGCTTTGGCTTGAGAGCACTGAGCCTTATCCTGATCTTTCAGACCTCCGACCCAAAGCCTCCCTCAGGGCTAACGCCAGAAGCCAGGGTTTGCTGTGCTGTGACTCCCCCTCAGTCCTGTCTAGACCCTGGGCCCAGCAGGACACTCACAATCTAAGCTTCTCAGAGGCCCAGGATGTGAACACAAGGGAGGTGTGCGCAGGAAGCTGAGGCCAGCAAGGGACTGGCTGGAAGTCCCCATTCAGAGGACACGTCTGCAAAGAAAAAAGAGCAGCTGCTGGCAGCAGGAGGTTCCTCCCTGGCCACTCAGAGACCAGGCAGCCGCTTTCTGTCGAGCCCTTTATCCTTCTTCTGAGGTCTCTGGGGGAAGCTCCTGCTATTGGGACCTCTGAAGAGCCACCAGCCACGCCTGCTTTTCAGAGCCCAGGCTGCCTGGCCTTGGCGGCCTCTCTGTGGTCTGGTCTCTGTGCTAAGGAAAGAGCACAGCAGGACTGTCCCTCTCTACTGAGCTTACTCCTCGCGCATCAGGGACAAGCTCCAGTCACTTTGTCGAGGTAGCATGGGGTGCCCAGTGAAGGTCCCTGCACCGCGCCCCCACCAGACACTGCCTCAGCATTTTGAAAGGGCGCCAGTGGCAAACGCTGCCATTTCTAGTTAATAAACAAGTCGTCGACGCCACCTCTCTAGCCCAGGGCTGAGGAGCAGTGTTGGGACTGCTGCCCCAGCTCAGTGGGATTAGCCTGATCACGGCAGAATCCCCTGCCCATAAGTATCACCATTCCTGCAGGGACAGAGGGTAAGAGGAAATGCAAATGACGTAGCGTGATTTTACCAGGCAAGATTCTTTGCAGGCACTAAATATACTGAAACACGTAGGGGTTCGCATTTTAATAAGTGCTTGAGACCTTGAAATTTCTTTACTAGACACAGAGATGCCTGCACTGAGCATAGCTGCGCAGGACAACAGTGACTCATTGGTGACTTGTTTCCTCAAGGTTCAGGATGGCTCCTGCACAAGAGAAAACAGGCCAGATCTGAGGAGGGGCTGGAGATGAAGCAGACAAGCCGCAGAGATGATGTTCCCCTTCTCTCTCTCTAATGGCAAACAGTTCCCCCTAGGTTAGCTGCGTCCTCAGAAAGAGAGTCTTCAGCTAGAGCAGATCTCGTGTGTGAGTAGCCACCCCTCCATCACCGAAAGTAAGACATGTCCAGTTTCAACGCTGACTATGACGTTTCTCCTTTCCTATAAATCACTAAAGCCAAGAGCCTGCTGAAACCTGTGGAGTTGCAGCCTCTGGAGATTGAGAGTTTTAGGCATTGACCACACTATTTTGAAGTTTAGGAGTTGAACACTGAAGATGTTAACAGCTTTACATGCATCTTTGGGTTTTCCACAAATACACCTGTTGTCACAAGGCCTCTGGTTCCTGGACCACCCTGACCCTTAGCATTCACAGGCCAAAGTGGGAGCCCAGCAGTAAGGCTGAGGGGGCTTCCCACCAGCTGCTGACACATGAAACTGGGCAGCAAAATTGAAACTGAGTGAGTTTTCACCAGCTCTGCTCGGGGCTGGAGCAAACATAGTCACGAAGGGTAAAGAACAGTGTGTGCTAAAGGTCTCACCAGAGCAAAGAAGGGGCTCAGATTCCTGCCACCTGCCACCCCTTTCACCCCCTAGGCACCCAGAGCTTGGGGGTGGGGGAGACAAAGGGTGATATGGAGAGAGCCATTGGAGACGAAAGCAGAAGACTGGGAAGAGATAAGAAATGAAGGACCAAAAAAGGAGAGATGAGATAGAGAGGAAAGAGGGGGAATGGAGAAATGAAAGACCAGGGCAGGAGGGACCAAGAGAGACCTTTGAGAAACAGACCGGCTGGAGAAAGAAAGAGGAAACAGACGCAGAGAGCCAGGGAAACAGGTGACGAGCAGGTGACAGATGAGAGTCAGAGGGGTCAAGGAGGAAGGCAAGAGACACTGGGAGATGAGGGCCAGGAAACTGGTGAGAGAGACAAAGAGGAACAGAATGGGAGGCAGACAACAGGGAGGCTGGGTCAGCTGGTGGGGGGAGAAGGCAGCCTCCTCTTTTCTGACCTGTCTCAGCCCCCACACCCACCAGCTGCTCCTCCGTGGGGCAAAGCTCCCGGATCCCTGCTCCGGGTTCAGATGGGAGAATGAGACGCACCCAGTGTTCCCAAAGTCAGGTGAGCTCTCTCTGTACCCCACTTCCGTGCAGCTGCCCTGATGCTCCTCCTCCTGGCACGCATTCCCTGAGGGAGCCCACTCCTGACCAGACCCACCCAGACCAGCCCAGCTCTGCACCTCTGTGAGAGCTCACCTCTGCTTTGGGCAGGAATCCCCAAGAGCCAATCTACATCTCTCAAGGTCAGATTTACCATCTGGGAACTGAATGCCACATAAATGGGATTACGTTTCTGTCTGGCTTCTCTCTAGTTTGTCATTCCCTCTTCTAATAAAATGAATGATGGAAAATGATTTTAGATGATTTGCCATTTGCTATCAAAGGAGTGCCATATGCACTAAACACCCAGAACGATAAAGCTCTTAACATCTTTTCCACCTTTGATCTTGTGAACAAAGCAAACCACCCTATCTCCAGCTTTAAATCCATTAGCAGAGGTATAAACAAGGAAACGCGTAAAACAGAGTTGACTACAGTGAGGACCTCTGAGTGCATGACAGATGTTACAATCAGTCAGTGACCAGCATGTTGAAAGTCAGAGTCGCATCTTTTATAAAACCTGCCTAAATCCCCTTGTGTTGCTAGGAGAGGGAGAAAAATTACACGCATGCAAGGAAGAAAAGAGGTCAGATGGGATTAATGGGTACAAATCAGCACAAGACTTGGATGCTTGTATTTCACTAAGAGACACATAGATTGATGCTCAGGGCTGGAAGTACTTACATCTGTGCCCAATTTCCTCAACATATGGTGAAAGAAAGCATCGAGCTCCTTCTCTTCTATGTAGCCTTTTTCTAAATGTATGGAGATAAGCATAAATAATAATAGTCATATAGAAAAACATATGGCATTTAGAATTTATCTAAATCTGCTTTTAATCTCACGATGTGTAAAATCCCCATAGACATATTTTTTTTTGTCATCCCAATAATTAAGTACCAACATGGACCTCCAGAAGACACAGACGTGGACAAAGAATACATGCTACTGAGTAAATGCTTTATGCTAAGGTTTACATTAGGATTTGAAGAACAAAAGCTCTTAAATACATGAATTTTAATGCATAAACACGAGTTTTAGAATAAAATCCAATTATTTTGAAAGATTGGAAATAGTTAACAGAGGTAAATATAGAATCCTAGTTTGCAGGTTTAAACACACATTGTAGGTGTTTTATGTTTCTTTAATTATTAGTAAAACCAAAGTGATCGGTCCTCAAGAAAGTTTTTTGCCTTTGTTTTTTGGTAGAGATGTAGTACATTTGAAGGTTGATAAAGAGAGTGCGTGCGCGGAGCGGAAGAGGTAGTTGTACCTCCAGGACTGCACAGAGAGGGCTGGCTTCTGGGGGTTGCGCCTCAGCGCACCATCCCGGGCTACTTGTAAAGACTTTCGTCGTTGCACGCACCAACGGCGAACCCTGACTCGCCCAGGCTAGGAAGGGGGCAGATCCCTCCCGCCACCGGTTTCACGAGGTTTCCGAGTGTGTAGCACGGGCACGCGGGTCCACGCCGCAGGTGGAGGCTTTTCCTGCGCGGAGACCAGGTCCCCGGCTGGGGCTTGCACTCACCATCCGCGTCGAAGCGCTGCCAGACCTGCCAGAAGCCCGCGGCGTCCCAGCGCCCCGGGGCCGGTTCGCGGGCGCTGTCCATGGTGGTGAGCGCGCGGCCGGGCACCAGCACCGCACGCCTCGGGGAGGACTCCCGCACGTCTGCGCTGAGCCTTCGCCTGCCGCTGGTGCTCGGCTGGGGCACCTGCCGGTGGGCGGGCTTCAGCTGGGAGGCGCTGGTGGCGCTGGTGGCGCTGGTGGCCCTGGCGTCGGGGAGTCCTGGCCTGGACCGCTGCCCCGCCCGCCCCCGCCCCCGCCCCGCGGGCGGAGCCCCCGCTGTCTGCTGGGGACGCGGGGAGGAGCGCTGTCACCCGGCCACGGCTCACTGCCTTGCCCTTTAGCTTGTTCGTCAAACTCAGAGAAAACTCCCCCTTCTGCTCGACTCACCTTTCAAACTTGTGTCTCAAGAGGTTTTCTAGAGAGAGCTGCCCTGTCTACAGCGTTGGGGGAGATGTCAGTGTCGGACCCCTGTAGACCTGATGACTTGGACACACGCTGCGGCGCGGGGAGGGCAGCGGCGATGGCGGTACAGGCTGCTGTTCACAAGAAGCCAGTGGACAGCAGTTACTGAGCCCTGACCGTGTAGCACACGCGCGCGCGCGCGCACACACACACACACACACACACACACGCACACTGCTGTGCTCCACGCCATATAAGGACTTCCAGGTACATGGAGATTCTGCCTGTCCCTGCGGCTCAAAGGGGTGTCATTAGGATGCTGGAGGGAAGACAAACTGAGCTCTCTCTACCAGGAAGAGCCAGCGCAGCCATGTTGGCCACCCTCTTCTCGAATAAGCGTCCACTCCGGCCTTTGAAAACCAAAAGCCAAAATCATTAGAAGGAACACAGAGATTTCCAATGATGGGAAATGTCCAGAATTTGGATGGTTTCTGAGTATGTCTGTTATCCCAGTGACTTGGATAGCTGAAGCAGAAGCTCAGCAAGTTCAAGGCCAACCTCAGCAACTTTTGAGACCCTGTCTCAAAATAAAAAACAAAAAGGGCTGGGGATTTGGTTCAGTGGTACAATACCCCTGGCTGAATGCCCCCCCCCCCCAAAAAAAAAAAAAAAAAAAAACAGATGGACTTTGAGTATATGTTGAGACCCCTTTGTTGGAGGATCTATAAAAGAAGCTTCCATATTGGTTAAGAGGGGTGGACCAGAAATATATCCTCTTTATAGCACTCTGACTCTGATATTAGTACTTGAACTGTTTTTGAAAAGCGCACATGCATAGGCCATCTGAATGAGTCATGAAAAGAACATGACCTTCATAGTCACATAGTCCTGGGTCAGGATCCACCATCTGCTAGCTGAACCACTCATTCTCATTTCTGAGCTTCAGTTTTCTTATCTATAAAGTGAGGATTATAACATTTACCATGGGGAGTTTCCATGAGGATCATAGCCACACAGAGAAATACACAATGTTCATGGTTGTCATGGTGTTGTAGATAACAAGAGATGAATGCATGATATATACACATATGCATATATAGAGAAAATAAGTCTGAGAAACCTATAGTCCAGAGGAGCCTAATGAGAGAGAATAATCAAATGTAACCTTTGACCCTGGGTGTCATCTTGGAACAGAAAGGGGACATTAGTTAAAAATTAAGAAAATCTGAATAAATATGGATTTCAGATACAATATTGGGGGGAAATGGTTTAGAACTAAATCTCTCTGGGCTTGAGGCCCAGCCTGGCCTCTTACCAGCTGTGAGAAACTGAGAAAATTACTCAGAAGCCACTTTCTTTTCTGTAAAATGGGGATGACCATGGCATTTTTCTCCTGGTGCTGTCCTGAGGGTGAAATGTGCTGTTCTGTACTCTCAGCAGGGCACACACAAGAGCACCCAACCTAAGTCAGCTACTGAGGTGAAGAGTCCCCCATACAAATGCATTTTGAGGACGGTGAGATAAACTTGAGAGGTTTTGAGGAGCATGGCTTAGGCTGAAGGAAGGGAAATGAGATCATCACCAATGGGAAGAGGTGGGTACACACACTGAAGAGCTGAGTCGGGAGGGGAGGAGCTCACAGCATGGGTAGTTACCATGTGGCCCTGGGGAACTATCAATACCATGTCCAGCATCAGGCAGGAAGATTGGTCTACAGAACTCAGCAGGTTGATGACTGCTCTTGTCTTCTGGTAAATAATAGGAACAGGAAAAACGAGGCGAATATTAAAAGTAACGATCAAGATCTCAGGTAGGGCGATAGCTAAAGAAACAAAGATAAATCTCTGCAACGGGATGTATGGCAATTTCAAAATCAAAACCTTGATTTTGAAGCCCAATGACACAAGGAAAAGCAAACTACAGAAGCATTCATCTGGTCTGACCCAATTCTGTATTGACTTCTTTCTACACATAGGGAAACAAAGGATATCCATTAATGGCATCAGTGACGCTTCTCTCTGTAATGTGGAAAGGGAGGTTGTAGCTGAGTTTAATTTTACTATTTATAATTCTTCTATTTTAAGACCTTCTATGGTAAGCATATAATGCAAACTCTCATGATTTTTTGAAATTGGAAAAGCGAAAGTTAGTGAAAGAAGCCTAACTATCAGAGCTGCTCTGCTCTTCACGGAGAGCAACCAAAATGCAGAACAAGTTCCAGCAGTCTGGTATCTGGAGCTTTCTGAATAGCTGTGATTTCCATTCCATGATCTACTTTCTTTTTATGCAAATACCTACCATAGTGTTAGGTAGCTGCTGCTGAAGTACCTTGCAATCCTAATATACGTGAGATTTCCTTTGGGAGAAAATCATTCAAATCCTTGACAGAGAAGAGAGCAATTAGGAAAGTGTTTAGAGATACTGGATCAGCAGGAAACGCATTTAAGACTCTCTTCCTGGTTCTCCTACATGAAAATGGAATGATGGGGGTGGAGGTGGAAGAACCAGAGATATTTTACCTGAGACCATTATCATCCACCCAGAGAGCTCAGAGTAAATACTCAAGAAGCAGCAAGAAGCAACCAAAGATATATTATGCAGTTTATAGATCCATTGAGCTCCTTCTACAGATATTCTTATTTGAATGGTTTGGAGTGGGCTTTGACATAGATATTTTTAAAGCCCCTCTCCCCACCCCTGCAAGGATGATATTGGATACACTGTCTTGCCTTGTATCTCTAAGCTTCTGGATGCTCATAGTTGTCATTTTATTATTTGGATGTGGCTTCTCTGAAGGAACATCTGGAAAAGAAAAACATAAGTATTCAACATTCTTTTGTGATTCATACCCCACCTCTTTCCAAAGGGATCAGAATTTATACTTATAAGTCATTCTAGTAGCTTTGACAACTGATGGCTCACACTGGGGCCTAAGACAATAGGTTTGTATTTTTTCCCTGCTGATTTCATTTTCTCCTACAATCATTTCCTGCTTTTCTCATTAGCATAGCTAATTGATAGTTAGTTATACAGAAAGAGCAGTGGTATATAATTTGGAGCATTGCTAATTAACCCTGGTGCTTGCACTCATTTCTAAGCTAAAATATCTGCATCTTTTTGCAAACTCAGAATGATATTTCTAGTGAGAAATACAAAGGATTTTTGTGGCATCATCTCCCAATAGTTATTGAATATCCAAACTTCATAGACGCCTCACAGTCTATGCAGTAGACCTTAGGATTCAAAGATAGAATTAGCTTAATGCCATGCCGGCTCCAAAGGTCGAAGGAAGTAGACTACAAGAAATTGGACAATGTTTAATCATGAGGAAATTTATAAATACTGAAAGTAAGGCTGCTGCTTAAAATATATCCTTTATTGTTTCCTTTGCAATAACACAAATAATATCTCATTTAAGCAATACAAATCAGAAGCTTCAGAAAAAGATTGTTTCATGATTTTACAACTAAAGAAAGCTAACAATAACAATATGTCTTTTCAATCATTTTTATATGGAGAAAAATTGGATTATACTGCTCTATAACTTGCCTGTTTCATGTGATATCATGAACCTTATCATTAACTATTTTTCTATGGTGTCATTTTAGTGATATTGTTACTGCTGTTGACCGGTGACGATTCCTTGCTTCACCAGTGTTGAAGAATAACACCAGAGAAGCATGCCGTGGCAAGGTCAGAGTAGAAATTAGAAGTTTATTAAAGGACAGCAGAAAAGACTTCTCCCGGAGGAAGAAGGGGACCCAAGAGGTGGAATCCGTGGAAGTGAGGTTGTCTCTCCATTTTATAGTTTCTTTCAGTGATGGAATGTAGGTGGGAAGGCCCGAGGGGTGGGACACAGGTGGGTCAAAGAAGTAATCTGGGCAGGAAGGACTTCTGAGTCAGCACCTTCAAGTTTGCTGGGGGCTGTTCATTAACACTTCTTTGGGATGGGCTCTGGCCTTGGGCTTTTCCAGGACTTCATGAACATTCCATGAGTTGTCCTGCGTTTCCGGAATTCATTCTCAACATGGCCTCCATTTCAGATCTTACTCGATATCAGACCCGATTTACCTAACTACACTGACTACCTAACTTTAAATCTGGCTTCAATATCATTAGATTAGTTTATTTGTAGTCCTCTTTTTGGAATTTTTTCTTAGGTTTTCACTATCAACTGAATGTTTGCACACTCCTGTAATTATTTCTTTGGGATATAATTCTAAATGCAAAAGTGCTGGGCTGAATGATACATGACATTTTTAAGTCTTCAATACACATTATTAAAAATAGATTCCATCTTGATTTTACCAATTTGTGCTGTCACTAGCAATAAAAGAGAGTATCTACATTAATAATTTTTAAAAAATCTTTGAGATTAATCCTGAAGTAGTCACTGCTAGTTATTTGTGGAAAGTGGAGTAGTTTAGGATTTACTCAGAGGTGGCATGTGTATGAAGGTGAGTGGCACTCGGTGGCTTATCAAAACCTCCTGTGCTCTCTCTCTGGCCCACCCCATATACAGCAGCTGGCACAGTGACCACTTCATATTTCTATACTGCCCTAATCATGCAACTTTTGTTCGTAGAGTTATATTCATTATGGAAAGAGACTGTGATAGTATACTAACACACAAAAGCAGTGCTTTAAAATCTCTCGGTCTGTTACAGTAAGTTGAAACTATAAATATTTTTCCAGCCACAAATATAGCCACCTTATTGCAGATTTAATAATGCAAAAGCATAGGATAACCTTTCAAATGAATTTTCCT